ACACACACACACACACACCGAAATAGGCGAGACAGAAGTGGAAGGAGGTTCTTTAAGAGACAGAGGCCAATTTCAAGGCATTTAGCAGAGGAAGTGATGAGAAGAAAAGCTTATTTTCTATTTAAACATAAAAACAGTATTTTAATACTGTAACAGCCAAAGGTGACATAGATACTTTATTATGGTATAGTATTTAAATGTGTGCATGAGAAACACATAATATTGGCCCTTTAACATTTAAATTTACCATTTATTAAAAATGAGCATAATGTAAAAACAGTGAGCTAAATAACAATAAAATGTTAGTGATTTTTTTTTTTTACCATTCAGTGAGCTAAATTATGAAAAATCTGTTAGTGACACTTTAATGTTCTGTTTTTCACTTGGTAACCCATAATTTCCCATCAAATATACACATCTGTTATTATAAATACTCGCAAAGATAGTTGAGTGATTGGAGGTATTGTAACACTTATTAAAATGAACTCTAAACAAAAGTATTCATTAAAGGGGACTTTCCTTTTCGATCTGTTCTATTGTAACTGACAGGATTGCTCTGGCCTCTGACTTTGATAATTCAGCTGCTTCAAGAGGGTCCTTCCTGTTGAGCGAGAGAGTAGGTGGGAAGTCAGCATCTCTCTGCGGGTAAACTTATTTCACACATGAGCTGGAACGAGTGGCGACAGCCACATCAAATCTATTTTCTCTGCATTTGCAGGTGCAGCCTATGTCTCTCTATAAGAAGCAACCAAACATGAGATAAAAATCTTTCTTCCTTCCTTCAACTCGAATATGGAGTGTCTAATGCGGAAAGCTGCAGAGCCACTCGAGTTAAATGGTGTTTAAAGTCATTTAGAGGGAGAAAAAAAAAGGTTGTTACCTTAAGGCTTCAGATTTACCCAAACAGTTTGTGCTTTCATTTTTCAAAGAAGCAGTTTAGTTGTAGTTGAACTGTTTTTTATCGCCTGTTCACCAGCACAAAATGTCTCATTCAGAGCTGTTTAACAAAAGGTTAAACAGAGCAGTAGAAAATAGTGCAGATATTTATAAGTTCTCAAGACAGATTCTATCAATTGGAAACCATTAGCCGAGTGGATTCAGGTAAATCTCCTTCAGGAGGTCTCATTCTGGCCTTTCTCTGTCACTTTTCTTGTTTTTCCTGACACTCCTGTCACAATCTCCATCTCAGCGGGACTCTTAAAAAGATTGGTTCCCTCTCTCTCTGTCTCGCCGTCGCTCAGACACAATCTCCCTTCATTTCTTTCTCGATTTGCGTCTGTGTTCCTCAGCGGGACTCTTGGAGGGATCTGCTCTGAATCCGGAATGACTCCTCTGCAATATTGATGAAAGAGAAGCTAAAATACAAAACTCTGAGCTGACAGGGACAAAGAGGAGAAAGAGGGGATGCTAAAGACAGAAGGATGGGCAGGGAAAGCCAAACTGTRTACCACATTTCTGCCAGAGTTGATATTTCTTCTTTCTTTGTCTGTCACAGCTACACCAGTTCAGAAGCTCAACAAAAGCGGAAAAAAAAAGGCAAGAGGACAAGAGGAGACTCAAGATAACAACTAGTGGAATGTGGACCTGCCTCAACAGACACATCACAAGATCAAATCATTGCAACTGGGGGATTTTAAGAAGAACTTCCCCAAACAAATCAGCATTTGGTCTTTCAGACAATAAAATGAACATTTCCAAACAGGAAGCAACCATAAAAGCAACTTTTAGTGTTTCTGTTTAACAGAACCCACACAAGTCTGAACCCATCTATCAGATAAAAGCTGTGCTTCAGGGGAACCATCTCATCTGGGATCTTTGAGCGGCACACGTCTGTATCTCTCTGACCTGTCAGATGATGTACTAATATGGTCTCCATTTAAACAGAAACCATCATCAATCAACTTTTAAAACTTTCAAAGGACTCAAACTAACTCTCTTGTATTTCCCATCTCTCTAAAATAGCCATTTAAACTTTTCAATAGCCTCAAGAAAAGGCACCACATCTCTACAGCCTTAAGTGATGGAGGGAAAGTTCGACAGCATCCAGGATTTTTTCACGCAGCTTTGGAGTTTTGTGGTGGACAAACACAACCAGGGGGCGTATAACACAATCTGCCTGGCTGTCCTGCTGACGCTGCCCCTGCTGGTCGTCCTCACCGCTGTGGTCGTGTGCTGCCACTGCTGCTGCTGTCGCCATGCCAACAGCTGCTGCTGCTGCCGCTGCTGTGGAGACACCTCGAGGTCAGAAACCAAAAAAAAGAAGAACTCAAACGACGAAGACTTGTGGATCTCTGTGAAGACGGGCCCCATGACTCCGGACCGGGTTGCACTGGCCATGGTGTGAGAGTCCATCCTGGGTTTGAAAAACTGCTGATTCTGGGCCAGTTTGTTCCAGCTTGAAGACATTGTTCATAATAAAAAAAAGGATTTTATTGCAATAAACAAAGACATAATTGAGATCTCATACCTGTCACTTTGTATTTCTATGAAGTGTGTGGCAGTTTGATGACAATGGTTGCACATTTTATGAGCTTTTCTGTGGTACATAAAGGAAAAATATGTACAAACTGAAGCATACATATTACTGCGAGTGTGTTTCTTGTGGTGTGTGTGTGAGAGAGAGGCAGAGAACTGCAGAGTTACTGAGAGCACTTTGTTCTTAGAGCTTCTATGTGAAATTCAATGCATCTGTATTTGGAAGTGGGAACAAATCTAAGTTCTGCCAAAAAGTGTTCAAATAGCTGTATTAGCACCTCTTCACATTCAGCGTGCAGTGCACCTAAAAAAACAGTAAAAGCACTGAGACTGAACGGACTGCCTGCAGAAAATAAAGTCTTCATTTAGATTTTGTTTTCCCTCGTTTGTTTAAAAAAGGACTCAGCATTGTTGGCAGGAGAGGGAGCTCACCTACTTTTGTTTTTGTKCAGACGCTTGCACCATTTAGGTCAGATCGGCCTTAAAGGCACAATTCATGTTGCAGAAGCAAAAAATAAATAAATAAATTACAGCACTTCKTTAGACACCACCTACTGCGTGTGGTGCTTAATATTTTGTTTTCTGGGATTTAATTTTTCAAAATGTTAAATGTTTTCCTCCTCAAGCTGGTGCATCAGATTTTAAAAAGAAAAGTTTCAATCAATTTACGTTTGGCTTCTGCAGCTTTGAACTAGGCACATGATTTATAGGCCTACTTTAAAGCTGCTTTTTAAAGCTGATATGAACCAACACAAACAATTGTATCAAATTGACATCATCTGTTTCTGTACAATACTTTTATGCAAAAAGTTAAAATGCACACACAAAAAAGATTTWAAAATTAATAAGAGGAATCCATATCCCCACTGTCTTTCATGACAGAGGAAGTTTTTGATGATGATGCAGTTTTAGCTCAACSTATGAGAAATTATCAAAATTTCTGTGTTGGTTGAGGTGCACAAGCTGTGCTGCTCATCTTAAATTGGACTGACTGCAGAAGTTAATTAGTTTAGATGAGTATTCAGTGAGTGAAAGTTTCATTATATTGTCTTTATGGGTTCATGAGATATTTTACTAACAGGCAAACAGTGTTTGTCAATCAAAAACTGTGTTATCGTTATCTCTGTTTCTGTAGATGTAAAGCCAAGATGTCGGGTGTGTTGTGTTGCGGTTTCTCTATATACATTACACATATCTTCTAATCTCTCTTTCACTTTTTCTTTTATATTTCACTATTTTTTTCTCTAACTTTTTCTTCTTTAAAAAAGTCACTGATGATGAAGAAGTTAAGAAACTGATATTGCTTTCTACAGAAGTGGCAAAAAAACCCTAACAGGCAAACAGAGTTAAGGTCAGTTTACGCTGATTAACAATCWCACATTATCTTTCAGTGGCAGGTGATAATTATCTAAACTACATTTTTTTTGTTATTTATTTACATCACCAATGCCCTAATTTTAAAGCTATTTGTTATCAAATCTTCCAAAGTAATCAACTCTTCAAGTTGCCGATCTGTATTTTCTAAGTTAAAAAACTGAGACTAGCTCTCTCACCCATTTATAATAAAAAAAAATCTACCCARCAGCAAMACAAAATGTGAGCTTAAATTGAACTTTTTTTTAAGGTCAGGTGTACTTTAGTTTGCATTAAAGCAAGGCAGTTGAGCATAGGATAATTTTGTCAGGATTTTAAGCAGGAATTTATTCTAACATTCTCCTGGGTGTTCTARTATTTGTCTTTTTTCATCAAGACTTATTATTCAAACGTGGTTGTGATTACTTTTACCGTGCTTCTAAATCTTCCATATGATCCCTCAGTGGCCAAATCTGCAGTTTTCACTTCAGCTAATTTAATGTCATTAATCACAAGCTGTGAAAGGTCTGAACAAACAGACCACAATTAATTACAAAAGCCAATACAATTACATGTCTTAATGAATAAACAGGGTGACAAGTCCTTGTAGGTGATTGGCTCTTCTAGCTTTAAACAACCAATAAAGCCAGCATGTAATTAATCATGTGATCTGTCAGTTTGACTCAGTTTCTTGTCTTATCATAATGTTTTGAAATAAGTTTTAAAAGACTTGCATGAATAATGTTTGCAAAATAATTAAACTTGGCTGAGAAATGAGTTCAGTCGTTCATTTAAACGCTGAGGCTCTTCAATTATTTATGCCCTTARAAATTAAGTGGTAACAAACTTAAACCATGAGCAGTTATCTACTCATATACTCAACTGTTTTAGAAAAGGCTTTCTTTGAAATGATTTAGCTGCTAGTGATTTTTATTTTTTCTCCTTCTTTTCTTAAGTGTATGACTTCTGAAAGCTCAGTTGAGTAGAAGCGTCTCTGCAGCRACGTCATCTTTATGCATTAGCTTTTCCCGATGCTAAGTTGATCTAGTTGCTCGAATGCTGCAGGGAAAACAGGTCCCACTCATTTCATTACGGCTCAGACAGATGCAGCCCCACTTAGAAACCAGGGAAAGCTCCTCTGCTTTATTATCATGGGAAAAACATTCTCTACATTAAAATTTAATCCAATTTAGTTTAATAAAATTACATTTTTATATTCCTTGAATAAATGCATATTACCCGCCACCTTCCATGCCAGATGTTCAAATTAAAATCATTGTACATCCATTTTTTTTCACCAAAAGATGTTCAGTGGTTTTAAAAAGAATTTGCACAACAGTTGAAAACAGAGTTTACAACAATATTGCCATATTTTTAAGCAAATATGTCACAAATTGTGTAAAAGTAAGAGTGTACGGCTTGAATTTTAGGAAACAGACTCAATATGAGTTGATCTGAGAAACTCCTCAGAAAAGGGGTGAAAGAGGGACTTGTAAAGTCACTGCAAGGAGGAATTTAAACCAAAGCATTGCAGATCCACTTAGACCCCAACTGAATGATTTAAATGTGAAAAGGGAGGATTTAAAATCGCATGTCCTCTTTAATAACTGAAACAAGTACAACATGCAGGATGGCGGCCCTGAAGGACCAGGATTGGACACCCTTGGCTCAGTGGATGTGTTGAGAACGTCTCTCAACCACTACCTTACCAAGTTTTATCTCAGAATTTGTAAGAAAAAAACAAGTTACCGTCATTTTGCATTAAAATATATCATAATAGCCACTTTGACTTTGACTGACTCCTCAAATTAATCAGTTGTAACTCTACAGTTAATGATTATTTTATAATTTTAGTTATAATCTGTCGAGATGTTCGTGAGTTATTTTGCTAATGCTGCAGACAACCAAGTAGTACACATATAAATGTGCAAAAAACATGGATGCTTTCAGCATTGAATGATGTAAATAAAAGCCTTGATGCATGAAACACATTCTGACACTGAGGTATTTTTGTTTTTGCCAGAGAGGATTTTTTTAAAAAGGAGAGGAAGTGACAGTGCTGTCTATATATATTTTGTTGTGCTTACTGTGGAAGACTTTAACTGCAAACTCATAATGACACAAACAAGCTGCTCCTCTTTTCTCATCTGTCACTGCTTCCTTAATGAAATTGACGTCAGACTGAAAAGCAGAGGCAGGAAGTCGCAGGGGAATTCACATGTGGCAAGGTGCAAAAGCCCAAAAAGATTACAGCCGAACCTGTGGAAATAACTTTTTTTATTATTTAAAAACAGGTTTGTATTCTTAGCAATTTGAAGTTTTCCTTTTCTTTCTTTTTACTTATAACATTAAAAGATRTAAAACATATAAAAAAGATTTGCATGTCTAATGAGAGCACTCAGTCTTTCAAATCTTAATAACTGTTATTAATCCAACCCATCTAATTTATCTATGCATTAAAATATCAGATGACCGTGAGTAGCTGCTGCTAATTGTCAGTTTTCACAACCGTCAGGAGATCTGATGACCCTGTCAGTAAAATGTTTAATGAGGATTGCTGAATTCTAAATTACCTTTTTTTTAAACATGAATGGGATTCTATAAAAAACATTTGGGTTTCAGATGTCAAGGAGAAGGTTCATACTGAATATATCTATATATGTATCTATATCTATATCTATAAAATAAAATAAAATAAAATAAAAATCCCTTCTCACCCTCCGCGGGTGGTCTCTTTCATCCTCTGAGCTCGGGTCCTCTACCAGAGGCCTGGGAGCTTGAGGGTTCTGCGCAGTATCTTAGCTGTGCCTAGAACTGCACATTTCTGGACTGAGATGTCTGATGTTGTTCCTGGGATCTGTTTTAGCCACTGCTCCAGTTTTGGGGTGACTGCCCCGAGGGCCCCGATGACCACAGGCACCACTGTGGTCTTCACCTTCCAGGTCTTTTCCAGTTCCTCTCGGAGGCCCTGGTATTTCTCCAGTTTCTCATGCTCCTTTTTCCTGATGTTGTGGTCACTTGGTATTGCGACATCCACCACAACGGCTTTCCTCTGTTCTTTATCTACCACCACAATGTCCGGTTGATTCGCCATTACTGTCTTGTCTGTCTGGATCTGGAAGTCCCACAGGATCTTAGCTCRGTCATTCTCCACCACCTTTGGGGGTGTTCCCCACTTCGATCTCGGGGCTTCCAGTCCATATTCTGCACAGATGTTCCTGTACAGTATGCCCGCCACTTGGTTATGTCGTTATATATATATACACATATACACATATATATATAYAYAYAYAYAYATATATATTTATTTATTTATTTATTTATTTATTTATTTATTTATTTATTTATTTATTTATTTATTTATTTATTTATACTGATATATGTATACATATATCAGTGTCTGTGATCAGCGTTTCTTATCCAGCCAATAACACATCACTCTATTTATTTTAAAATGCCTTTTTTTGTTTAACTTTGTTTTCTTCACTGTTAGAGAAAATGCTGAGTTTTATTTTGCTTTAATTATGCGCTTTGCTGAGTTTTGTTAGTTGCTCTGCATGTATAATTTTTCCAGGCATACTTGTTGGTAAAGCACTCAGAGCTCATTGTGACAGATGACAGGTACGTAATATTATTTTAAGCTTTGCAGAACAGAGCTTTTGTTTTTTTTCCCCTTGCATTTCAATTTCACATGAAGGTAACGATGCATTCAAGTTTTGACATAAAGTCTTTCTGCTTGCATGCACTTTGACATCTCCATACTGATTGTTTAGAGAGTATGCTCACAAATCGAGTATCTACTGACATATCAGTGCGCATTTGAATGAAAACAAAGCTTATAATCATTTTTACAAAGTGCCAACGTACCAGACAAGCTGAAACCACAATAAATGGCTGACTGTGTGATGTGATGATTTTAAAAAAGGGATAATGTTGTATCTAAAAAGACTCAGACACCTGCAGCTACAGTTAAGCTCAATTCTGAATATTAAAACATGCAATAAGAAGTCAGAGATAGGTAG